CTTTTCTTGATGTTAGCCAACGAACAAGCATACCAACACTAGCGCCCCGTCCTTTCTGCTGGTGAGGAGCAAGCAACCACCATCACCAATGCCCTTCCACTCCCCCTTGTTGCTCTTTTTTTACGGGACAAACACCACCACCACCTACTACTTATTCTTCTTTTCCACTCGATCATATACTATCTTCATCATTCTAGTTCTTCTCACAATAAATTTTGGCAATTTATTTTGCAGTTATGGAACCCTAATTTCGTTGTATGGGTTTTGACTGATTTGACTTACTTTTTGTGTGTGCTACTAATTCTGTGTGTATGCTAGATATTTAGAATGTATTAGGACTTAATTATTAAGGACTTAATGATTTTATGATGTGTCTAGGGATTGTAATGAGTTAATTATATAATCCCTAAACTATTTTTGGTTATGACTTAATTGTTAAAGACTTAATGCATTTATGTTATAATGTGTTTGATGATATTATGATATGATGTATCTAGGGATTGTCTTGGCTTAATTAGATTGTAATGATAGTAAAATGTATGAATGCGACACTAAAGTGCCTAAGGACGAGAACAATTAAAACACTTTATATGTAATCATATTTAACTTTTAATATAATGGTTTATATTTTTTGTAATCATATTTGACCCGTTCTAATAGAAATCTTTATATTTGTTTTTTTATATTTGTAATTAACTCGCATTGTATTTTTGTATTCTATATCTTATAAACTTTCCTAGTTATGAGGTTTTCTGGAATGTTTTGTAGTACTTGATGGCTGATGTTCGGTGTCATGATAAAGACGACTGTGAGGATCCACCGCATCCACATGGTAAAGACTATGATCATGCACATGAGATAGACGGTAATTAAGTTTTATTATAATTTATTTATTTACTATATTTACTCATTTATTATAAATATTGCAAGAAATATTTATTGATGCATCTATACCACCACTAAAAAGAAGAGAGATGAGTAAAAACCTTAAACTCTTAAAGAAGTGAGACGAAAACAAGAAGCAACAATTGTATTTTGTGTTTGACAGAATCTCTACTTACACAATAGTTGGTCATGTATATGACCTCTTTATTTGTGAGGTTGGAAAATATATCTTGGTGGACATCGCTTTAGATAGAAAAAAAGGGAAATTAGTTTCTCACGTCGAAAAGAATGCCATGTTCGAGCATATTCGATTAAATTATTTATATAAGTATATTTAATATGTTAATTTTTATTGATTGTTTATTTTTTCTATATTTTATTTGTAGCCATTTTTTGATTTTCAAGCGGTTACGAATGATCCCGAGTCTCCAAAGTTATGAGCGAGCCTTAACTTTCATACAAGTAGGCGATATAAAGGCTATAAAATGATGCAATTTTTTTTATAAATATGGGAGGGTATGAGAATGTCGAGATGAGCAAAGGAACCGACTCGGCTGGAACTGGACCGAATCGGACCCGGCCCGGGAACCGAAGTCGGCCGAATTAAAGAACCGAACCGGACCGCCGGTTCTACCGGTTCCCGGTTCCTACCGGTTCTTGCCGTGTCTTCAATGTTGGAACCGGTCCTCAAGAAATAGCAACATACAGTTCCGGTTTTTGCTGATTCTTCCGGTTTTTGCCGGTTCCTACCGGTTCCCGGTTCCAAAAATCCACAAGAATATCGTCCCGATCCCGGCCCGATTGGTTCTATCCGGTTCCGGTTACGGTACCGGTTCCGGCCGGTTCCCCGGTCCAAATGCTCATCCCTACGAGAGAGCAAGTAACCCTCCCCCCTCGTTGTTATGGATTCGGATAATTTGAATTCCACTTAAAACTATTTTTGTACGGAAAAGCATAAAAAGTGTTCTCACCAAAACACAAAACACATATTGTCATGCATAGCAAACAATGAAGAATCACTGGGTGGACGGTTATTTTTCAGAAAATGCATCTTGGTTTACACCCTATGCGAGCCCGTATCCATAAACTTTTAGTGGGTATCAACTATTGGGGTACCAAACCTACTGATGTACATACCCTAAAGAGTTTCAAAATCACCATTGAAAATGGCGCAGACGTACCATGACAGTCTGAGAGTAAAGGAGATTGTGAGGTGTTTTTTTGTTAGTTTATTGAGATGTTGATCGCAGGGAAATCATATAAGACAGATGGTTTAACCGAAACCTGGCGACCGCATATCGCAAGTGATTGGCAGAAATTTTTTGGGGAACCAAGAAAAAATAGTGTTCCGTTTGAACGATGCAGTATTATTTAAAACATATGAAGCACTGGTTATTAGTTTTGGTATATTTAAAAAAATATTAGTTTTGTTAGATTTATGTAATTATTTAAAGCATTTTGACTTTATGTAATTATTAGTTTGATAGATTTAAAAATTATCAATAACCATTCTTTTTTGCAATATATACATTTTATTAAAAAAACATAAATAAACAAAAAAAATTGACTGTTCCGGAAGGCTACTTTGGAATACTTCTCCGGTATCATGGAGTTCTCTCCGGAATGCCCTGTTCCAGACATAATGGTCATTTTTCAAAAATTAAAAATTGTTGGTTATTTTTTTCAAAAGCTTCATTTATATGGGTTAGATTATTCAATTTCTCATTACTTAATGTTTTGTTAATATGTTTTAGTTGTGACTTAATGCTAAGGACTTATTGTATTTGTTATGAATTTGATAGTTTGATACTTTGTTAAAAACTTAATGCATTTGTTATGAATTTTGTAGTTTTGTACTTTGCTAATTGTTAATTTGGTTAATTTAGTTTGTTGTTTTACCTTATATATTTATTTTGTAGGCGGATGTTGATGTTATTCTTAATAACCCGATGTTTGGAGCGACAATATCAAAAAGTGTTTGATTGTTGACCACCCAAAATGAGAATGAGGAAACAAGGATGACCGATAATGAAGAGTAGTTTTATGTTTTAGTTACTATTTTACTGATGTTTTTATATATGTATTATGGATTTATGTAGTATTTTATGCGCATTTTATATAAAATGCATTTTTTTTGTATATATTAGTAGTATTTCTACATTGACATAAATAGTTTATCAACGACACTATTATCTGTGACATTATCATTGGCGAAAGTTTGGCATTAGCGAGGACGCCAAGGCGACCCAAATAGGGACAGTTTTTGAGCATCAACGACGAGGCATTTGCAGTGACTTCTTGCCGATGACATTTGTCGCCCCTATTGCCTTGATTCCTTATAGTGATAGCATATTTTATGTGTTTGAGTAGATGTACAAATGATGTGATAACTAAGAATTGAACATGGATCGAGTCCAAAAAGAATTTGTGCGATCAGATTTGTCCGATAACATTTTGCCTCCATAATCCTCGATTACATATTGTTTTGTTGGAAGAGATATGTTACATTTAATTCTATAGTCCCTGTATTCTTGTCTTAAGGTTAATGTTTATCTTCCATGTTTATTGTGAGACCAATAGATAAAAACAGGTAAATATGGCATTTTATCATATCATGAATTAATTTGAACTGAGCAGAACATGGTTGAAAAAGACTTTTTTGTTTACTTGTTACAATAGAGTGCTTAAATGAGTTAATTTGAAAATTGAAAAAGTTGAAGTGTATGGGAATGATTAATCGACAAAGCCAGTGGATACAATATGGAAAAAAGGTAAAGTTCCCCAATTTTAGGATGCCATTGCCATCAAAACAATATAAATAATCAATCAATCAATCATCATTTCAATGTCTATGGAGAACAAACTCCTTTGTGTTAGGGCATACCCACTTGTACCCAAAAGCTTAGTGGGGACTATCATTCCATATCAACCTTAAAGTAACTTGCTTATCTTAAGAACCTTAGTTTATTTGAAGTTTAATTACGAATTTAGTTAATCGCATACCGAATATCATAGTTATACGAAAATGTACATCTAACATTTGTTTATCAAGTGAAAACACAAAATCATGATTAAAGTCTCTTGGTGATATCATATTTTGTTGGAAGTCATGTCCATTTTATATAAGAAGAATAATTATCCTCTTTATACTTGACCAAAGACTCGGAATCCTATATATAAGATTTGATTATTGATTAACTAAATTTCCAAATAACAAACACCATGATTGCAAAAGAAAATAGAAAAATAAGAAAATACTTTTACAAGTAAAAACATTTACTAAGATCACCTTAACAATAATCATATACCGTTATGCAACATACCCTTTTGGTAGTTTTCTTACAAAGATAATTAAAAATCTTACGTAAAAAAGTCATACATGATTCAAATCATGTTTACAATTATATATTTATATAAAAATAATTTTAAATTTTAGGGTATCTATAATATGCATAGTTCAATAAGAAAATTGAATGATATATCATGTCTAATTGACATTCAATAAAAAAAAATGAAGCTTTTTAATTATAAATATATTTCATGAGTTCAATATATCGTAGGATAATTAATATAAAGTTGTATTCAAAGTAATTAATATAGAGTTGTATACAAAGTAAAATAATGATTTGTAAAAATCTATTAAACTAAATTAAATTAATACATAAGTTCAATGTATTTTGTGGATTTCCTTAGGCTGAGTTAACACATATAAGTTATACTAGATTTATTAGAATTTAACATATAT